GGAGACCAATAGGGAGCCAGTGCAGCTCACGGAGGATGGGTGTAACATGGGTGTGTCTAGGTACACCCGATATCGCTCGCGTGGCTGCATTCTGGAACAACTGTAGTCTCCAAACACTCTTCAGGGGCATCCCCATGTAGAGCGCATTACAGTAATGGAGGCTGCTTGGAAAGATGGTTTAATGGGGGACAGGACCACATGACTTGAGGTCCTGAACAGAAAAGGGGAGGGGTCTTTGTTATGTAGAATAGACTGGCCCAGGCTTTTAAAATGGCCCATTAACAAAGGTGGGGGCTATTAAGAATGAGTCTGTTTCATGCCTAAAAAACATGTTTCTCCATTTCTGATCCAGGGAAATATAATTTTCTGCCTTTTCAATATTTCCCAGGATATTTCATTTCTCTAGGAGAGGGGTGGGTTTTAACTTCCGACAGCACAAAATATCCCTCTCTTCAGGCATCTGCTGGAGGCTGTTAAGAAAGACCGAGGCTGCTTTCTGTCTTTAAGAACATCTTTCTCCATTTCTCCTTTGAGGAGAAATATAATATTCTCCTCAATATTTGAGGAACTATCATCTGCCTCTTTTAATATTCCCCCAAATATTTCATTCTTCAGGGGGGCACTTCCCACACATCAATGACCTGTGCTCTGCTGAGGAGACGACAGGACTCTGATAGCTGAAAATGCGAATGGATCTGGAAGCTCTGGTGAAAAGCCAAGAAGCACAGTAGAAAAAAAGAGAGACTAAAAGTCAACACTGCATAAAGATCAGAATCGTGGAGGTTTTCCCTGCAACTCAGTAGAGAAATAAAAATGGGACCTTGAAGAGGCAGAATAGAAGGAATTTCGATACTTTTAATATCATGGACAGTCAAGAAAACAGATGGCTCATAGAGCAAATCAATCCAGAATTTTCATTCAAAGCAGAGATGAAAAATAAACTTTCGACACAAAATGCAAAGACAGAACTTTCTTGAGCAATCTGTAAAGCTGGTCAAGAAGGAATGGAAGGAAGGGCAACCAGCAGCAGAGTGGGTGGACTTAATTATAGTGATGATGGATTCACTGTAATTGAAAGTCTAGCTATGTTCTGATCTACTAAGAGTTGACATCAACTTAATGGCACATAATCAAACAGTCAATCAGTCAATCATTATGTAACAGGTTGTCATGTGACAAAGATCCTGCTGCCTAAAGAAAACAGCAACACCAATCTAATGGAATAAATGGCGCACTCCAAAAGAAATTTCCTGCCAATAGTTTTTAATGTCTAATCTCTCCATTAAAGTGGCATCGTTTGTGGATTTATAGGAAGGGAAAATATTTATAGACAAGATCCTGTGTCAGCTGTATTACAGTTATATGGACATTATTATTGGATGCGCTCTGAAAAGGAATATATAATTTATTTAGCCAATTCTCAGATTAAATCTGCAATTATCTATTTTACAGGCAGATACCAAGTTCTTACCAAGGTTTTTATCCAGGGCTCCTTGTAACCAGGGAGGGCCTAACTCACGTCATTCCGAAGACATTATTTTAAATAGAAATCAGCTTGGGAAAGTCAACCAGCATTTCTGGTTGGCCTCCGTCCAACGCAGCCCTTCCCTTAAACTGCCAAGCTAAAATCAACACAACTAAAATTACACAGCCACCTGTATTCTGGATTTCTCATGACTCAGAGCAACACAAGGCAAGATGACTGGGGCAGCGTATATTAAATATTACACCAGCCCTCTGAGTGCAAATGGCTCAGGTGGTTTACACTTCTTAGCTAGGCCGCTGTTTTAGGTTGATCTGGCATTTGTCAAGCAAGCCTGTTAGAGCTGCATATTTTTATTTAAAAACACTGCTTTTTGTTTTTTATTAATCTAGGGTGCAGGTCATGCACGCATAGTAAGAAGAATTGCTCTTATGTTTAAGATTATTCTACACGTACCTATATTTACAATGTTTACGTATGTACATATCTGCTACATCATTTCCTTCAGGGACAAGCCATCTTATGTCCCAAAGGTGCTTTTTCAAGAGGCAACTGGACTTTCTGGTTTTTCTTTAAAGACATTTTGCTTCTCAACCAAAAAGAAGCTTCTTTAGCTCTGACTGGAGGATGGTGGGGAATAGAAGGATTCATACTCCTTGCAGACAGCTGGTCCTTTGATAATCATGGTAATCATGTATCTTTGGAAATGTGCTCACCTGCCTGCTGAAAAAGGACAAAATGATAATGGAGGTGATAGAAAAATAAACATGGCTATCTTCAGTATATGATCAAAGAAATCAAGCTGGTGGCCACCAATAGCTCTTCTTTCCCATTTTTTGTGTCACTCACATTTCAGCTAATGTCTATAATCCCATTTCCATATTCCGTATGGATTCACACAGACTATCTTGTTTCGTTGAATGTTTGTTATTGACTTAGTGTACTGAACTCAGCTGGACCATTATAAATCACGGCTTAGCATTGGTAAAACCCATCAAATTGTGGCTTATTCAAAACAAACTATGGAAAAACAGAGCACAGCACAATCGGTAGTCCTACTTGTTACTTAAAAGTAGTATGGAAAGGCACCCTGGGGCTTCATAATCACTAGGCTTCTAATATTCCTTCTCCCAGCTTGATAAGAACTTTACAACACTCAGAAGACGGAGCACTGATTGGTAATAGTTTGATTGCCACAATAGGCCCTAAATATTGAGGTTTTTAATTGTTCTTGCCAACATAGCTTCCCTACTTTTGGGGGGGGAATCAAGCATGGATCCAATCTTTGTCCGTCACTGGGACCAGAGGTTTAGTCTTCCAAGCTTGTGCTGGAGCCCATCCTCAGGGAACGTCTCTCTCTCTCTACCAAAATGTGCGTTCTGGTAGAGAGACGTTCCCTGAAGATGAGCTCCAGCACGAATCTGACCACTTGGGAGACTAAACCTCTGATCCCAGATTGGATTCTGCAACATTATCCCAGGATATGTATATTTGCCTTCATTCATGGAATCAAGCATGCTTTGATGAACTAGCAGTACACATCTTCAATGCTGTTATTGCTCTCTAGACTAGAAAAGTCTAATTCACGTATTTGACATCATCTCAAGAAATGCCTTGGAATTTCCATTCATGACTCAGATGTTACATTATTCCTGTTTACAAAATATTTTCCAAAACTTTCCACAATAGTTGCTTTATTCTGGGATATGGAAATCACCAGTGCTGAGCAAGATTTACCGTCAACTGTTAAATAAAATGAATATACAGGTGAAACTCAAAAAATTAGAATATTGTGCAAAAGTTCATTTATTTCAGTAATGCAACTTAAAAGGTGAAACTAAGATATGAGATAGACTCAGTAAATGCAAAGCAAGATAGTTCAAGCCACGATTTGTCATAATTGTGATGATTATGGCTTACA